GTGTGTGTGTGTGTGTGTGTGTGTGTGTGTGTGTGTGTGTGTGTGTGTACACTTGCTGAATAAAGGTCATTTTGTGTTAGATGCCACTGTCTGAATCACTGAGTTTTACCCCTATGTCTCCCATATATGAGTGTGGACAGAGGACAGGATGAAGATCAATCTGCCCTTCCATACTGGCCCTATAGCAAGGTCACTCAAAAAGCCTGGAGTCTAGGTTTGGGTGCCATTCTGGGAGTTTGGTCCTTGAGATGTATTTACAGTTTGTCTAAGAGGCACATTCCAAGTTCCAGACACAGATATATGTCCCTGCTCTCACTGCCAACCTATCGCTTTCACTGTCCTACTTCTCAGTGCAGGCCACCCGTCTCCTTGCTACCCTAACTCAAATCTTCATATCTATCCAGTTAACTCCTATCCTACTCTCCTTCAACTGTCTCCTCAATAATCCCTTCATACTTCGTCCTGTTGCATTCCTGATTGATTTAATTTGAATTCTCCTGAAATTTGAAAATTTCACCTTTCTCTTAACACCTCACCTATGCCAAGATCACTACTTTTCTCCTGCAATCTCTTAAACAATGGAAAGAAGATTAGCCTTCTCCTTGCATCCCAGTGCCACTTCCAGACCACTAACCCATTACCCTGTTTCACTTTTCTTCATTCAAAATCCATGCCATTCACCTTTAACAAAATCATTATGATCATTACATAATTATCATTGCTACGATCATGTACCACAGAGCCCTCTCTCCCCTTCTGCCCAACTTCTACCTTCTTAGATAACTTCAGTACCTGTCTTAATGACTTCAGCATTCATGCAGATGATCCATCTGACATTACAATACAGTTCCTTGAATTTCTGAACTCTACTGACCTTTCACTTGTACCCATTAATCACTGGCAAGGCCACATCCTTAGACTTCATTATTATATGGCATAGCCTCATGTCCAAGACCCCAAACAGGTGTCAGAACTTTGAGTACAATTTCCTTACCTACCATGCGGATCATTCAACAGTCATATAAAATGCCTACTATGTGCCAGGCATTGTGCTGGGGCTAAAGATTAAAAAAAACAAAAAACAACAAAAAAAAAGAAATGAAGCAATTCTCATTCTTAAGGAGCATACTTAAGTTCAAATTTTGCCTGTTACTTACTACCTTATATGAGCTTGGCCAACCAAGTCATTGGTTGTCTTCCTCAAATGTAAAGTAAAGGTGCTGGACTAGATGAGCTTCAAGTCACTTTCCTACTCTAAATTTATGATCTTATCATCCTTAAACCACCAAATTTATTCTTCTCCCTCACTGAGGAGTAAGATTAAACATTCATTTTTTCGCATTTTACACTTGATTAAATTCAATATTGTCTATATATATAATCCTGTATAAATATAATCGTGGACTCCCTTTGTCCCTGTCATAACAATTCTCAATCTTGAAATAAAGTTAATCTTTCTTCATTCCTGCCTCCAAGTTACAGAGTTCTGCTGAACTATGTGAAAATCAAGATGGTGCAATACGCTCAAAGTTAAGGAAGGTGGTTAAGAGTCATGTGCCAAAAAGACCCAGAAGGCTATGCCCTGAGAAATGGTAAGGGAGTCTGACTACAAAGAAAGCATTATTGACCTTCAGGAAAAGCCACAGTGGAGTTCTAGGAGAAAAAGCCAGACAGAAGAGTGTTGGGAATGGAGCTAGTCTATGTAGAAGGAGAAACGGGCTGTCAATGACGCTGACAATAAAGGCTGTAAAAGATGTTCCTGAAAGGTAAAAAAGAACAAACTAGAGTACAAATGGAAAGGAAGACACTTCTTCCTTCACAATTATCAGAAAGAATGAGAAGATACATGTCAGGACTGGAAAATGTTTTGATTTAGATGAATATGTTCTTATATTTTTGTAGATACAACCTACAAGAGAGTATTAAGCAGAGTATAAAGATGCTAGATACTCACCGAATCCTAGTTAAGTGAAAGGGTAATTGTTGTGTGGAAAGGTCAAGAGAACCGAGAGAGGGCACTAAGCAAATAGAGAGCATTCTCCATGAAGTCCATTTTGCTTCACCACAAGAAAACAGCAAAGTGGAGGAAGAAACAGTGATTATAGTTTCGAACTAAGTGGGTTATAGGATGACAGCATCTTGGAACTGGGACACCTGAATCTCTAATTCCAAGATCCTATAACTTAGTTAATCTCCTGGAATAAGGGCTCAGATCTGAATTTCTGTTAAGACTGAAATATGCTAGAGCTAGAGGGAGAAAGTGTTTACATTCTGAGAAAAAGAGTCTGTTGGGGGCAGGGGTGTGGAGGGGAGGGAGAGAAAGGAAGTTCAACTTACATGGGACCTGGCTGTCAGTCGAAGAGCAGCTGTTCCTACCTCCTGGGTCTTCCTTTCTTGGGGAAGGAAAGAGTCCTGAGAAGACTGAGCTGGGGAAGAAGAAATGATACATTAGGAAAAGGCAGTGCTGTCCTAAATGACCCACTAGGTATAGCGCCACAATTACTATAAAATCTCCTTCAAAAGAAAAAGAAGTTAGCTTCATCTGCTCTCAAGATAAGAAAGCAGTGTCAGAGTCATTGATGCTCAAGTACCCAACCATCCCTACGATCTAGTAGAAAGTTCTGCTCTGGGAGTTAGAACATAACGGCTGAAGTTCCAACTCTTTCTACAGAGCTGTGTAAACTTCTTTGTGCTTCATTCACCTCCTCACTCAATAAGGAAATGTAAATTTTTACTTAAAAAATCCTATGGCTCATTCTTGCTTATAGAATATGTGAGGAAGCAATATGCTGAGTTATTTTAAGGAAATGGCTTCACCAATATGAAAATGTTACTTACAGAAGTCACCTGGTCTAGTAGAAAGAACAGAGAACTGAGAGTTCTATTACAGGCTCTATCTCTAGCTGGGGTCTAAAGTCAGTTACTTGGCTGGAGTCTCAAGTTTTCTCGTTTATTATATGTTGTGTTTTTGTATGGATAAAATGAAATCATAGCTACAAATAAGCTTTGATAATTAGGGATACGAATCTTCATATTAACTTATTTAATGTCAGAATAATATCAACAGCAGATAACATTTTAAAATAGGACCTTCCTGCAACAAAACTATAGACATCTCTTGAGTCTCACAACAATTTTGTGAGATGGGTAGTACAGATATTATTAGAGATATTAAATGAGCTACTCAAGGTTGCACAGTTAAGACATGACAGAATTAGATGTGAACCTAGGTCTTTTAACTCCCACTCAATTTTAACTCCTTCAATTATACCATGCTGCCACCTTGGGCTGGTATCAACCTTGGAGGGTAAGGAGAAGGATAAATAAGTCATCCCTTTAACCTCAACTGCAAGAACAACACAGAAAAAGGTGTTTCCCTCTAACTTCAAAAGGTACACCGATGCACAAATAAGAGTTGGAAAGGGGGAAATGGGCCAGATAATGTGATATAAGAGATTTATACTAAGGCTCCATTTTCTTTCATTGAGCCCAAGTAGATTTTCCTCTCTCCCATCTACTCAGGTTTCTGTTTTATCATTTCTACAAAAAGTTAATCTCACCACCTGTAGTGCCATTCTCACCTTCCTCCTCAATCACTTGAGTTGACTTCTCCATAGTTAACCACCTCTTTGGGGTCTGCTGATGGACTTCAAAGTCTTTATCTCTCTGGGCAGAACAGTCAGTAGTTGCTCCCGAAATTCCAGGATCTGTTCTCTTCTATGAATCTCTTGCCCCTGCTCAGGGGCTCTGAGGAGCATCTAGAATCTTCTTTCCTGCTGGAATAGACCCCACTCGGTAGGCTGGTGGCCTCCACCCTGTCGCAGTAATGTTTCTTTGGGGTTGGGAGTTCAGCAGTGACGTCTCTTTAGCTGTCAACATTCATTCTCTAAGAGAAGGATGGCCCTGAAGTCCAGACTTGGCGGCAGTATAGTCGGGCTGCTGACGGGCGTGGGGGGTGGGAGGAAGAGATAGAGCTGGGTCAAGGAGGGGTTACCTAGTGGCCTTAGATCCAGACTTAGGCCTTTAGAGTCCTGCAAAGAAGAGCAAGAGATGCAGGAACACGCATGGCCAGAAAGTGAACAAACCATCAAGCACAATTAGAGGAGGGTCGAGTTCCTGGGGGCGAGTGGGACACAGAGACACATAAATATATCTGCTCCCAAACACAAATATACCCTCACCCACAGGTTTCTCCTCCCCCATATGTAGGTGCACACACACACACACATACACACACACAGAGACACACACACACACACCGAGACACACACAGAGACACACACACACACACACGCTGTGGGGAGCGAGGTCAGGAGGCGGGTCGATTTGACCCCATTCACTTCCCGGTACACCCCAGGCTGCTGGCCCGGCCTGAGCGCCACGGTCTGAGGCCCCACCCCCGCAAGGGCGCTCCCGCCACCCCCCTCTTCGGCCTGCTCCTCCCCTGCCCAGCAAAGGTCCCCAGGCTCCCGGGCCTGCCGGGGGCCGCCATTCTGCCCCGCCACGGCGTGGCCACGGAAGCTCCCTGCCCCCCACTCACCTCCCGCGCCGCCTCCAGAGTGGACAAAGACCACGGCCTTCCAGGCCTGAGAGGGGTTCGCGCCTGCGCACAGCGAGCCTCCGAACGCGGCTGCTGCCAGACCCCGCACGGGCGGCGCCTCCCCTGCTCCGTCCCTTCCTTCTTACCCCCACCCCCGCTGCGCTGCGCTGCGCCCCGCCCCGCCTAGCTCCCCGATTTCTCCTGATTGCATCTCCTTTGTGTATAGTTTGCTCCGTTATTTTGTCAGCTCTGTGATGGCAGGGACCGCCTTTGTCTTTGTTTGTATCCCCAGTCCTGAACACAGTGCCTGGCACGTAGTAGGCCCTTAATAAAGGTTTATTCACTGACTTACTGATGGACAGACAGGTGCCCACAGAGGTATATGCAACATACATGCAAAGTAAATACCAGGCATTTGGAGGGAGGAGCTAGCTGGGTAGCCAGGCAAGGCTTCATGTAGGAGGTGGTGTTGATGCTGGGTTCTGAAGAAAGCAGAGGTGAAGGGGTACATTTAGCATGGAGAGCAGTCCACATGCATTTAAGTTCTTACTACATGTAATAATAATATGATTAATATAATGCATTGTTGTTGTTATTATTATATATCAGGCACACTAAGTGCAAAGCTTTGAAAGAACTTATATCTCAAGGGAAGGTACAATTTGTAAATAACTAACTACGCGAACGTAGAGGCAAAGTCCCTTGGTAGTACCCTCCTGTATAAGCAGCATGTGACCTAAGTCTTGAAGGAAACCAGGAAAACAAGAAGCAGAGATGAATGGGGGAGGGGGGAGATAGTGACCAGTGCGGGGGACAGCAAGGAGGCCAGTACAGCTGGATCATTAGAGTTCATGGGGGGAGCAAGAGCACTATGTAAGAACACTGAAGGGTAGGAACGGGTCAGGTTATGAAGACCTTTAAATATCAGAGGAATTGTATTTGATATTGGAAATAATAGGGAGGCGCCCGAGTTTATTGGAGGCTAAAAAGGTCAGACCTATATTTTAGGAAAATTGCTTCAGCAACTGAGGAGCCGGGAGGGAAGAGGCAGAGAACCAATAAAAATGCTATTGCAGTCCTGGTGAGAGGTGGTGAGGCGGTGGCTGTGAGAATAAAGAGATGAAGAAATGTTGGGAAGAGAGAAATGATAAGATTTAACAACAAACTGGATATGTGGCATGAAGGAGAGTAAGAAGCACAGGATTAACATTGAGGAGGTGAACCTTGATTAACCTGGAATATGGTAGTGCACTTGACAGTATAAGGGAATATTTGATATGGGGCCCCTTTATCTTTTGCCTTTTGTAATAATTGTATTTTAAACTCCAAAGCTCTATTTTTCCAGTTATTTCTTCTAAAATTCTTATTTATTTATAAAATTAAAATTATTGATTTATTTCTTCAAAGAATTCTAGAATTTTAGAAACAAGGATAAATTTGTTTCCAAGCTCTATTTTTCTTTGAGGCTTTGCTTGTTGATGTTTTGGAGTCAGTCTCTTCTTTAGGGCTGGTGTTTTAGGCATCCCTAGCATGGTAATCTTTATCAAGGGAGTCTTTTCTTGTTTACTCATCCTTCCAGACATATTTTTTTCCATCATTGGATTCTTTTCAATCAACTAAAATCTGCCTTTTCTCCCTCCCACCTCTCCCCCCCATAATCGAGAAAGAAAGAAAAACAAAACTGTTACAAACATGTATAACCAAGTAAAACAAACTCTTGCATTAACCGTGTCCAAAAAAATGTGCCTCAATCTGCACTCTGAATACATCACCTATGGATCAGGAACATGTTTCATCATGAATCCTCTGGTTGGTCCTTGTATTGATCAGAGCATTCCTAGGTATTTTAGGGTTTTTTTTTAAAAATCTTTACAATATTGTAAACTGTACAAACTGTTTTGGTTCAGTTCATCTCACTCTGCATCAGTTCCTAAAAGTCTTCCAGGTTTCTCTGAAACCATTCCCTTCATCATTTCTTCTAGCACAATAGTATTCTATCACATTTATCACATAACTTGTTCAGCCATTTCCCAATTGGTGGGCATCCATTCAGTTTCCAGTTCTTTTGCCACTTTAAAAAGAGCTACTGTAAATATTTTCATATATCTTTAATTAGAGTTTGCTTAACCCTGCTCCTTATTCCCCATCTCTCTCTTTTCTACTCCCCCCCCCATTGCCTGTTTAGTGAAATGTATTTTTATGAGTGTTTGTATGTGCTTTTCCTGTCTTTGCCCAGTTTAGCTGGGTGAGGTTCAAATGTAAGCCACTCCCCACCCTCCTTCTTTGTATGGACTTCTACTTGCGCACCCCAATTATATGAGGTCATTTTCCTCATCCTTCCTCTCCCCACCCCCCAGACAGTTTATTCTCCCTCTCCCTTATCATTCATCATCAAAACATAATAGAACAACTCCTAGGCCCTCTGATTAATTAAACTCTCTTTTACCCTGATGACAGTTAAGAGATGACACGTGTCTCCTTCCCATATTAGAGTATGAACATTTATCTTTTGTAGTTCTTATGATTGTTCACTCATATTTACCTTTTTATGTTTCTCTTAAGTCTTATGTTTGCATTTCAAAGTTTCTACACAGCTCTGGTCTTTTCATTAGGAATGCTTGGAATTCTCTTATTTCATTAAAGGTCCTTTTTTTTTCTCTGTAAGATTATATTCAGCTTCACTGAGTAAATTATTCTGGGTTGTAAGCCGATTTCCTTTGCAGGTAGGTAGCACAATGGATAGAATACTGTGCCTGGAGTCAGGAAGATTTGTGTTCAAATCTAACCACAGACACTAACTGTGTGACTCTGACAAATCATTTAACCTCTGTCTGCCTCAGTTTCCTCAATTGTAAAATGGGGATACTAATAACACCTTCCAAGGTTGTTGTGAGGATCGAATGAGAATATTTGTAAAGTGCTTAGCACAATGCCTGGCACACAGCAGACACATAAATTCATGTTTCCTTCCTTCTGAAACATTATATTCCAAGCTCTCTGGTTTGTTTGTTTTTGTTTTAACAGTGGTGGCTGCTAAATTGTGATTCCTTGGTATTTGAATTCTTTATTTCTAGCTGCTTGAATTATTTTTTCTTTGAAATGGAAGCTCTAGATTTTGGATGTAATGTTCTTAGGAGTTTTCATCTGGGAGTTTCTTTCAGGTAATAACTAGTTCAGTCTTTCTATTTCCACTTTGCCCTCTGATTCTAGAGTTTTCTTTCATGATTTCTTGAAATAGGATGTCTAGACTCTTTTTTTGGTCATGGCTTTCAGATAGTCATTGATTTTGAAATTATGTGTCCTCAGACAATTTCCCAGGCCAGTTGTTTTTGCTGTGAGATGTGTTACATTTTCTTGTATTTTTTCAGTTTTTTAATTTCATTTTAATATTCCTTGTTTCATTCGCTTCTGTTTGGTCCATTCTAATTTTCAAGGTGTTTGTTGCTTGAGTAAGGTTTTGTGCCTCTTGTGACAAGTTATTAATTCTTTTCCCAATTCTTTCTTCCATAGGTTCCATTTCTTTTCCACTTTTCCTCTAGCACTGTCATTTATTTAAAAAAAACACTTTCATGCTTTAAAAAAACCTTTATGATTCACAGGAATATTAGCTGAACTTATGCTCAAGTTATGTTTTTTTTTTTTTTGATGCTTTGCTTATAGTTATTTTGGAGTCATTCTCTTCTCTGTTAGTTTCTGGAGCTTCCCTTCTTATGGTAGAATTCTTTTCCTGACTTCTTACTTCGTGTTAGGGCCAGATTCTGTGAACTTCTAGAGGAAATATCAGAACTAATCCTGCTGCTCTTTTCTTGAAACATTATGATTGTTTTATTCCAGAATCTCAGGGACAGTTCAGGTTGGGGACCTACAAACTTCCTAGTGCTTCAAAGTGGTCTGACCCAGGGCAAAGTCTGATTTTTGCCTTACCGCTCTGAACTCTGCAAGTTCCTGATCTGAGGTTAGGATTGAGCAAGATCCTAGAGGTTTTCTTTGGTTTTTAATTTCCAGTAGACTGCTTCTGGACTTGGCTGCTATCTGCCAGCTGGAAAGGTCTGCTGATTCAGAGTGGCAGAACTGCAGGTTCCTTTTGGCCTGGCATTCCTGCCCTCGTTTTACCTCTGCAGGCTTCATTCTGGGCTGGAAGCTAGAACTGAGACCCTGCTCTGCTATTGGAATTAGTGCCACACAGCTACTGCTTTCTTCTAAAATTCTTGCTAAGTGCACAGCCTAGGGCCTGTAACTAATCCTCCTCCTGGAACGCCACCCCTAGATGTGCAACTGCTCTGTATCTGTGACCCAAAACTGGATAGTGAGCAACAGAGCAGCTAATTGGCCAGATATTCCTGCATCTTGAATATGTTTAGACCCATTTGTGCTACATTTGGGACCTCTCTTTGCCTTGGTGCATAGCCTTTCCCTGCACTAGAATGCTCTGCTTGGCCATTCCTGGTTAGACCCTGTCTCCATTGTTCACAGACCTCTCTATCTCCTTATGCTGCCTTGGACTAAAAAAATGATTCTCTGTGATTTTTTCTTTAATTTCCTTGTTAGGACTCAGTATGGTACATTTTCTATATCCATTTGGAAAAGCTGTGGGGTTGAGATTGGTTGTACTTCTTGTTACCCTGCCCAGTGTTTCTTTCTTTGTTTTTAATATTTATTTTTTTTGTTACATTTTAAATTCCAAGTTGTCTCTCCCCCTCCCTCCCAACCCCACATTAGAGAAGGCCAGCATTTGATATAAATATATATGTGGAACCATATAATACATACTTTCATATATCAATTCTTTCTCTGGAGGTAGATAACATTTTCCTTCGTTAAGTTCTTCATAGTTAATTTGAATATTCATTCAGAATTGCTTAGTCATTCAGTTACTCTTCAGACAACATTGCTGCTACTGTATACAATATTTTCTTGGTTCTGCTCATTTCACTGTATTATTTCATGTAAGTCTTTCCATGTTTTTCTAAATATGCGTGCTCATCATTTCTTAAAGCACAGTAATATTCCAGTCTTACTTTCCAAATTGAGACTGTGTGTTAGGGCCACACTCTGTGCACTTCTAGAGGGAATGTCTGGACTTTGTTT